ATGAAAATGTAAGGTGATATTTAGTTATTTTTAGTATTATCTGTATATAATCTTATAATTGAATATAATATACATCAATTAATTCCTGATTTCGAAAGCTATTTTTGTGTTTTTATGATAAATGTTCCAATATTGGTGTAATTATAGGACGCCATTTTATAGTAGTTGAAGTTAAAAGCTGTAATGAATGTAAAAACTTCTATTTTATTCTTTAAATTAGGTTAATTACTAAGCTATATGATGCATTATGAACCATGCACCACTCCTAATTTTTAAAACTGAGGATATTATTAACTAATTCTGATAGCTTATGTTATTAACCTATTTTGACAATTTACTTCAAAATACTTAAATCTAATGATGACAAAATACACACTTCTAACTTCTGATGGTCTATGAAGGGTTAAACTTCCTTGGATGTCTGATAGATTAAGTTCTGTATATCTAATACATTTAAATTATTTATATGATGATTATGTACCATGCACCACTCCTTATTTTATTAGATGAGGATAATTTTCATATATCTGATTGATTCTATACATTTTAGTTTGTCCATAAGAAAATGGTTTCTTATGATGATTATGTACCATGCACCACTCCTTATTTCATTAGATGAGGATAAGTTTAATATACATCTGATGAAGTTGGTACATTTTAATTCACTGTGTAGTTGAACTCAAACTTTTTAATTATGTATTGGACATACTTATTATTTCAAATTTATACTTATAACTATAACACTTTGATGATGACAAATATGTGTTAATAACTACTGATCATTATGTGAAGGGTTAATCTTCCTTGGATGTCTGAAAACTAATTATTTAATAAATAACATGATGAATATTGGACGGGCATAGCACTTGAAGATAATGATAATAAAAAGTTTAAATGTATGTTCGTAGATTTTTAATCCACTGATGATAAATGTGTATAACTGCTGATGTTATTTTGTGAAGGGTTTATCTTCCTTGGATGTCTGAGGATTCATTTTATAATTGTATCGAACACTCTAATTTTTTAGATAAGAAAAAAATAACTAAAAAACATTTTATGCAAGTTCATTTATTTTGTAAACAATCTTATAAGTTTTATTTATTGTAAATTGTAATGGCTAATAATAGTGTGTGTGGTCTTCATGATGATAACTTGTGTTTTGTGAATAAATCACTGAATAATTATGTGGACAAAAATACATACTTTGTTCCCTTGGCTATCTGAAATTATACTTATATATTTGGTTAGCTTAACATACTAAATGCATTCAATTTATGATGATACTTTGTGTTTTGTTAATAACCACTGAATAATTTATGTGGACAAAAATACATTCTTGTTCCCTTGGCTATCTGAAATTTAGAAGTTAAATTTATGATAAATAGAAAAAATATGATGATACTTTGTGTTTTGTTAATAACCACTGAAATAATAATCATGTGGACAAAAATACATTTTTGTTCCCTTGGCTATCTGAAATTTAGTCTCAACTATAACAATAATTTTTGTAATTTAATTCAGAAATTGTATTTGTAGACTACGTTACCCCACATGGTACCTCACTGCACGGTGTTGATGCACCAATATTAGTTGTTGATTATGTTGATCTACATTATATATTGTATCTACAAATATCAAATAAAATTGTTTAATTAACTCATTGCTTAGCAAAATAAATGTGGCGTAACTTTTAATTCAATAGACATTTTTAAAAGTAAATGATTTGAAAACTATATGTACTTAATTTGCATCAAGAAAGAATCTTTGGCAGATATTTTCTACACGATTGGTGTTACGATAGATTATTCTGTGGGTAGGAGATAATGCAGATGTTGCCCAACAACAAAAAATTAGTTACTGCCTAGGTCCTTCTTGATCTTGAACAGAGTTAAAAGGTTTACTTTAAGCTATTAAATTGTTCCACTGAAATAATTTGTTGTAAAATATAAATCTTGTAAATTACAAAAATATGAAAGTTGCAATGATGATGATAAATTGTGTTTTGTTATATCGCTGAATAATTTCAATGTGGACAAAATACATTTTGTTCTCTTGGCTATCTGAATTGTACTTTTTAATTGATCAAGGAGAAGGAATATACTTATTTATTTGTATTATGGTAAACTATTTTAATTGTCTGTTAATGGTAATTTAATATCTAATTTTTTTTATTCTGTAATATAGGAAAGAGTTGGACGTCGCTGTGGAGGTCTCCGTGTCCTAAACTCTTACTGGGTAGGACAAGACTCAACTTTCAAATTCTACGAAGTTATCACTGTTGATACCGCACACCCAGTAAGTTTCTTATTGATTAAAAAATTAATAATTACTCCTTATTTATTAAAATTCCTATTTTCCTTTCTTTTTAGGCCATCCGTAGAGATGCCAAGATCAATTGGATCTGCAATGCAGTGCACAAGCACAGAGAATTGCGTGGAAAGACATCTGCTGGTCGCAAGTCCCGTGGTCTTGGAAAAGGTCATGGTTTCTCACAGACAACTGGTGGATCAAGAAAGGCATGTTGGAAACGCAAGAACACCTTGCAACTTCACAGAAAACGATAAATCCATTTTTATTATATTATGCTCTTTTGTATTGCGTTTATAAGGCAACATTATATGTTAATAAAATGGTGTTTTATCTTAAATTTTCATTCGTCTTTTTTAGTTACATGGTTTTTTTTATATTTCAATTTTTCAGCTTGTGATGAGTAAATTATTTCAGTATAAAATTTAACTTGTAACCCTTAAAAATTAAAATACCATTAATGAATTGACAATTACAAACATTATGTTTGATACTCGGCCAATTTATTATCTTATGTTAACAAGACAAAATTGGTTCTGCTAAATGCAAATGTGCTATGTTGTATGTGTGTTAGGCTGAGAACGAATGCGAGCTATGTTGTGCAGTTGTATTTTGTTCTTTAACAAATTTTAACTACCTGGTTCAATTATATTTTATAAACATTATTTTTGGATTATTTTGTATTAGAACTTAAGAAGAGATTTGTTCGACAAACCATATTGTGGTAACGTTTCAATAATATTTGATATCTACTTGGTGAAACAGATTGAAAAAAATGAGGCTTCAATGATTTATTCAAAAAATCTTATTGGTACAATTGATAAAGTTGTGGTGAGGTAAGAGGTTACTTGGTGGAAAAAATTTTGGAATACTCAATTGAATAAACTAAATGTTCATAGAGGTATTCAAATTTTACTTGAAGAAGTAATGGTTATATTATGGTATATAATTTTTTGAGAAGTAGTTTGTGCTACTATGTTCCTGCTAATTTATTTTTTTGGAGCTCCTCACTATACCATATTCCAGTGGTTTTCAACCTTTTTTGGTTCCTGGCATATTACACATCACAAGTTTTCACGGTAGACTTGCGCGCTTGATAACCACGGCAACTTCGCCAGAGGCAATAGTTTTCGCCACACGCCTATACATGTATGACATTTCTCGCGGCACACTGGTTAAGAACCACTGCCATATTGTATTAAAGATTAAAATATAGCGAAGTATTAATTTTTGTAGGTACAACTTACAAAATTGTTTTGCCATACAGAAGGCATTATAATTTGATTTATGTAGTCAAAATTTACTTCAGAGACATGTATATTCTATTGTAAATTTTTGTCGAATAGAAGTATTTTGTAAGTAATCTTTATTTATGTTAGAACAATAATTACATGTTGGGTTTTTAAAATAAGTTTGTTGATGTTCTTGAAGTATTTGAAAAAGTTAATAAGACCGTTTTATTATTATTAAATGGTAACTTATTGTTTGAGAATCATGCAATTATTTTTTTTTAAAGAGCTTGCTGACTACGTGTGAGTCCCGGGAGTCCTCCCATCATAGCTGTATCATCTGCATAGGAGTATAGACTACCTTCAATTTAAAGATTAGACAGGTCTGTGACACATGATATAAATGGGGATAATAAAACTATTATGTTCACCTCCTTAAGATACTCCTAAGGACAATGTCCTTAAGCTTTTTACATAGTATATTTCGACTTGGTGGGTTCTGTTTTCTAAATAAGATTCAAATAATTTTTGGTTTTTAATATCAATTTGATCTAGATGGTTAATTTATTTATTGGGACATATTGAGTTGAAATAAGTCCACGACTTAAGAATAAACTGCATGTTTTTTTTTAGAATCCATTGAGTATAGAACTGAAGCACCTGGAGTATATTGTCCTTTTCTGAATCCAAATTGAGTTTGAGGTAGAATTTGATTTGATTTTAGATAATTAGCAAGTCTTAATTTAATTACTCTTTAAAATATTATAATTAAGGTTGTCAAGAGAATTATTGGTCTATAACTTTCTGTTTTGTTTGGATAACCTTATTTAAATATTGCTGTCATTATCGCTATTTTGAAGCTGTCTGATATTATTCCTGTATTTATTATGTTCTTTATTCTATTTACTAATGGTTCTTAGGCCTTGTTATCTGGTAAATTAATCATGTCTGTAGAAATATTATCATGAAAAAAAGGTTAGGTTAATAATTCAGTCAATATTAATTATGAAGTTTTTTAATAGAGGGTTCAAATTTAAAGTGTTTAAAATTGCTTAAATAATAAACAAAATGATAAATAAAAACAGATTTGGTATATTTTTTCAGAATAGTTCTGAATTAAAAATTCTTGAATATTTTTTTAATGATGTTTTGCAGTCAATTGCTTAATTAAGTAATTAAGTAATTGTGGCTTAATCGGACAGGTTGGTGCTTTTGGATACCTTAAATAAGCTTAATATCTATCTTTTAAACGTAAAATGAGACATAATAATCAACACATAAAATAATGTAATTGTGTATTCTATTTATTCATTTTTTAATCTTTGGCCCACTTAACACAGCATACATGTATGAATATAATTGAAAACAAATACCTAATACCCAAGAAATAAGTATAAGTAACTCAATTATATAATAAAGCTCACTTGATGAACATTAATAATAATTTCATAAATTTGAATATATCAATATAAATAAATATTAAATAATGGTAATAACTAATATTATATCACAGAAAATATCAAAATTAAGTTTACAATAAATTGTGCTTAATGAAATGGTAACTTTCAACACGTTTAAACTAGCAATGATTTAGGAAAAAGATTCATTTTAATGTAGTCATCGACAACCTGCAAACAAATATTGGTTAATAACATTCTTAGCATATTCAATTTACACTAACCTGTTTCAGTAATTCAACTGTGATTGTTGGATGTTTTAATGTAAAACCAGAATTATTCATAAATTTACTGCCATTCATTTGGATACGATAACCGTTCAAGTGATCTTTGTGAATAAATGGAGACAAAGGAGTGTTATGAACATCAGATTTTGAACATGCTTCGGCCCAAGGTACTGAATGTTTGTCATTTGCTTCGGAAGCAATAACATCAAGATCATTCTTAAACAAAACATTAAAATAATTAATCAGAAATAAAACATCTAGATAATAATGATGGTACTTTGAAATAGAAATAATAATAGTTAACATACTCTACATAAAGATGAAAGAACCGAGCCCAGAAACTCGTGTTTAACTCCAAACAATGAGGACACAATTTCAGCTATCATATTCTGTGTAGTTTGACCACTGTCGACTAAATTGTAAGTTTCCCCAACAGCTTCTGGTAATTTTAACAAATACCATACAGCTCTACAAAAGTCTTCAACATGTATTGTGTTACAAGAGGTACTGCCTTTCCACAGTATTCGAACAGGCTCTTCCAGTCCTCGATACAAAGAACCAATCGCAATAGTTGGTGCTACAATTCAAATTTGATTTAATACTTATACTCAATATTCCATGGACATAGACATACTTAGCCCAGTTCTGTCACCTATGCCATACACAATAGCTGGCCGGACAATCGTATAATTTAAATTCGGAATGGTTTTAATTTGTTTTTCAACTTCATATTTGTACTTAGCGATGGATGTGAGGGGTATTACTTTATCATCTTCTTTAATTGGTCCTTTGTGGTTGGCAGTCAACTGACCTGATGACACTTCAACATAACGTTTTATACCAAACTTGGCAGCAGTACGAGCACAGTTCATGCTGAGTTTATAGACTCCCTCTTCATAGATGGTGTCTGGTAAATCAACACGAGTTTCTCCGGCACAATTGATAGCATAATCAAAGAAACCTTCAAAAACATTCTCGCAGGAAACTAAAAAAATGAATGTCAAAAATATATTAATTAATATTTTTGTTGATAAAAGTAAATACCTATGATAAATGACAAGTTTACATTGATTTATCAAATTAGCACTGAGAAATTCTACTATGGGAGATTCAAAGGCTGCCTTGTGGTCGTCATTGAGCCAAGCAATTTGGGGTGGCACTTTGTCAACTACTCTCACGGCCGAAGCTAGATCGTTGTCCACCAAATACTTGACCAGGTGACGGCCAATAAAACCACAGCCTGAAACCGTGCAAAAAACAATTTTAACAAAATACTTAAAAGAAAAAACGATATAAATTACCTCCCAAAATCAGTACTCTGTCTTTTGACATGCTGGACGTTTAATGCTACAACTGTTGCTGTAGCGGCGGACAAAACGATTGTTTTAAATCAATATATCCTCAGACACTTCCTGTGACCAAACACTGCAACAGATATTATTTAATAAACACATGCGTTAGTCATAATTACGATGAATAATATAGAAATAGAAATTCGTACGTGGCGTAGAGGTGGCCGTCAATGATGATCGCATAGTTGTGTCATCTTCCGCCTTCCGGCAAGTCGTGTGTAAAGGAAATGGTCACTGATACGCGCGTTCAGAATAATAATAAATTATTTATTATTTATTATTATTATTATTATTATTATTATAAAACTGGCATCCCGTCATAATATTTTATTATCGTATGATATAATATGAGGTACCTACATTCAAATACTAAATTATCATTATCATAATTTGTAATTCGTAGTTGTGTTGTTTGCGATGAGTGTAATATTAAACACACTTTATAGATACATAAAACATAAATATGTATTTAAGTCATGTCTATGACAATTGACAAATGGGTCCATAAGTATGTCCCCAGTTGTGTCGAACGTTCCCAAAAAGACGATAAATCAAATGATATATTATTAATTATTATTAATTATTATTGTTATCAAGTATCAAATTCATTATGCAATGTCGTGCGACAGGTGGTGGTGCGGTGGTAATAATAATACTATTATCAATTCTGTAATCTATGATCGCATTTCCTACATTCATGATAGCTGTAGTGATAGGTATATAATAATATAATATATTTTAGATTATCGTTTAAAGCATAAACATAATATGAAATTGGGCCATTGGATACCTACTTGTCTTTGGCTTGATGATTAGGGTAGTGGTGGATACAATATTGAATATATATATTCTTAAACCACAGAATTGTATTGGCCATTGGACAAAATATCCAGGGATAAATAACCAATGCATATATATAGGATAAAATGTATAAATAAAAACAAAAATTTAAGATATTTTGACTTCAATATTTTGTCCTAGATTCTCACAGAATAAGTGAAGCCTATAGGTTTAGATCAGGTAGTACTATAGTATATGGTAAGATATATACCTGTAAAATATTCAATACATATATCTAGGTTATAAACTACACTGAAATAAGTGTAAATACTAATAAATATGAGGTGTATAATGTATATAAAATACAAATACCTAAAAAGACTGATAATTTATTTTTCAAGCAAACCTAGGGTGTCACTCGGCGTCCCGGCGTATAATATAGGCAAAATAGGTACGTATTAAACTTGGTGTGGTAAAATGAGGACGGCGTTTGGATTGTTGCCGTGATAATAAATATTTAATTTTGTCTAAAATGTACATTTTAGTCCCAAATTAATGTGAAAACAAACTTACGCTCAAACATCGACTCTTCCAATGAACACTAGCTGTACCATACCTAGGGTACATACCGTATAAATGCAGACATGCAGTACCGTCGAACAAACAGCTATTATCTTCATGTCGTTCCTAACTGAAACTTGAAAGTAAAGAAAGATTTTATGAAAATAACCTGAACGTATATGTGAATAAATTTTATATTATATACAGCTTAACAATTTGTCGGACTTGATGTAAAATGTATTCCTTGAAATTATTACAATTGTTAATCGTCTCCAAGGTTAGGTTAGGATGTCAGATATTTTAATATGATACATCTATAGACCTTATACTCAGTTTGTAATCATAAGTTTCTTTTATACTTTCATTGCATTAAGTAAATAATAATAAATTATATTGTGTTTTCGAAGAATAATTCATTATTGTATTGAATTAGGTACCTACATGCTGGGTTTTAAATCAAAAGGAAATATGTTGATTAAAATTTCAATTTCACATATACTTACCAATGTTTGTTTTTTTCTGATTTCAATTTAAAATAATATATTGAATAATGAATATTGATGTTATAATTTTATGATTTTTATATACTGATTTAGTTGTATTACGATTTTTGATTAGATTTTGAACATCATTTTCCTTTTTTTTAAGAACCTAACCTAACCTTTGGTTTTACCAATTACGAGGATCCTACATTAATTGCATGCACTATCTCCACCTTACAAACACACAACATAGTAATTTATGTCTTATGTACAATAAATTGCTGAATAATTCATTTAACTTTATTATGGTTAATATTAGAATGAATTAATCCTGTATTCAATTTAAAATAATGAATATTATTTAGTGAGTCTTATAAGTTATTTTTTACATACATTCATATTTTTAAATTTGTCTATAGGTTAAATTACTTTAATTTTAAAATTAAACATACAAAGTTAAATGAATTATTTATTGCAGTGGTTCTCAAACTGTGGAATGCAAAAACTACTTGTTGGTACATGGAAAGCCTTAAGTAACACTGATTCAGATATTTCATCGCTAATATCAAATCTACAAATCCATAGTTCTCATTGAAAATTTTTATTTAATTCATATTTAATTCGTACTAATAAATAAAGAATAATTATATTATAGTATTTTACTGCATTTTTATTTAAAATAAATGTATTTAACATACTATGTAAAGTTTGTATCTTTCTATTTTTAATCATCAGTGGTATGCGACTGATTGATAATATACTTAAGTGGTACTTGAAAAAATAAGTTTGAGAACCGCTGATTTTGTAGCATATAATTTTATTTTCTATAATATGCCAATATATATTGGAGACAAAGCATTAAATGAGGCGGCACCAGCCTCTCTTAAGCCATTAAGTCCATAACTAATAAAAACTAAATTATTGACATTGCCATAAAAAACATCTTATCAAATTTTATTTATGTTATAAGATAAAAAAAAATCATAAATTGTAATTTGTTATTAATTAAAATAATGTCAATATTACTAGTTACTAGACTAGCTGTTTCGCACTTAATAATTATATACAACACATAACATATTTTGTATAATCGTATTACACACTAAAGTAGACCCTAACTTTAAACACACCTATTTTTTCTTTTTAATTAATTTGTATCCTTTATATTGTACAAGTATTTAAATTAGGATTTTAAAATATAATAATAAACTGAAAATAGAGATTATTTGTTTATTTATATAAAACACGTACAACTGTACACTTGTAAGTTAATAATAATAATATAAAAATAACACAAGCATAGAGATTATACAAGTTTAAAAATTTCAAATAGATCATCAAATTCAACTTCACGCTGAGTTCCAATATCTTCTTCATCGTCCATTTTGAATTTTGGGTTTATTGTTAAAAATTCTTTTATTCCAGCTAATACCAATTAATAATATTATTATAAATTAAAATTTGATCACAACATGTATATATAAATAAATGATATATTTTAACAAATAATTACGACTATAAACTTACAAAGTACTTGAATATGTAATGTACATTTATAAATGTGATCTAGACGTGCAGTTATAACCGATGACAATTGGGGTTCACCACATTCATTCATGGACATAATCTATAGTGATGCATAAAACAAAATAGTGTTAAGATTATAATCAAATATATTTATAAATGTAATGTAAAAATAAAAACTTGCTTTGAATTGTAATAAATCATAAATTTGTAACTCTGTAAGGTTTGTTATTTTTATCTGAGACATGTTCTTCCAATCTACTACTAACATATCACAATTTTCACTTAAAATGCTATCATTAGACTTATTATTTTCATTTTCAATATAAGAACTATTTTGTGTAGAAGTCTTTGGGGTACACGTTTGACCACGTACAAATACTGGAACTTTATTGAATTTAATGTTAAATGGTTTTTCATTTTTCCAAGCTGAAATTGGTAAGCAGTAATAATAAATTTGAAGTAAAATAATTTTAAATAAATGTAACATACCAGATAGGCTTATATTTTTTTGTTCTTTAGAATTTAAAGCTGGAGAATCACAGCGAGAAACTTCTCTTGTTACATGAAAATTTGGTTCTTCAGAATTTATGGAAGGAGAACAACCTTCTTCTTGATTGTTTTCTCCATTATCTAATTTAAAACGCTTGTGCATTTTACTAACTTCATTTGAGGATACAATAGAAGTCTCAGATAAAGTACCCACATAATCCTGAAAAATTATTTGTTTTTTATAAGAAAAATATAAAAATAAGTTATATTATAAATTAAACAAATTACATTTTCAACAGGTTTATTTTCTACAAGTTCAACATTTTTTTTGCTTTTTTTGTGTGTCCTCTTACGAATTCTTTTCTTAGGAATTTTTAATAGTTCGGATGAAGTTGAATTTTCATTATCATTATTGGGTTCTTCATCCTCTTCACGATAAAGGGATAACGTTCCATTATCAATATAATTTGTTATTTGTTTAGTTGAAGTAAATTTGTTAATTTGCTTAATCGTTTTACGACAAGGGGACAAATCTCCATTGGTATTAGTTGGAATCATATCTAACTCTGAATTGAACTCAATAATATTTGATTCAGTTTGGATGTATTTTGGATCATCATGAATATTGCTTTTTTTAAGAATAACACTAAAAAAAAATAGTTAATATTTAGTATATTTATTGGTTATTGTTTTTAAAAGTATACTGACGATATTTCTTCATTTTCATTAATTGCATTGATATCATCTTCATCCAGAAATGGTACGTTGTCAAAACATAATTCTATATCACGAGATTCTTTTAACACCTTACATACTTTTGCTTTCAATTGTTTTATTAATGTAATGCAGGTTCTGTCTATATGAAGCCAGTAAACTGATGGATTTCTACCCGGCGTCAGTCCCAAAAGGTTTAATTTAATACGCATTTTACACTAAAATATTTCAATTATGAAAATCTAATAATTACAATTCAAAACTAATAGCAAATATTCATAAATTGAGTATGAATGAGGTCAACCTCAGAAAGTCCAATTTATAAGTTTTGAACATTAAGTTTGTTCAGTGTCACTTTTGAGAGTTGGTGGGTTGGTGACAATAAACTTAAACTGTGTAAAACGAACAAACGAAGGAAAACAATTGAATAAAAGTCAGTTTCACTGTTCAGTGTTTACATTATAAAATTTGTTTACATACGAAATATGAATAGGTACACGTAAACACGATGTCGACTTATGAGTGACGGGATGCCGAACCGATAGAAATTAGAAGTACAATTAATGTCAAATATTTTCAAATTTAAGTTTTGACAAACAGGCAACAGCAATTAACAAGTTGTTAGTAACAGCCAAATCGAACCAATGAAACAATAATGGCTAGTGGCTATTGGTTACTGAACATTGAAACACTGAATAATGATGATAATGCTTAACTAATAACTATATCCAAATAACGTTCCAATCTGTGGTTGTACTAAATTTACTACCGTCGAAATAACATGATCTAAGACCATTGGGTATACAACTTACTTAACTCTATCACGACTACAGTAGTAAATAATGTCCATGCGACCACGATGTAGATAACATTTTATCTACATCATGGATGTGACCGGGCATCGATTCGGTTTTAGATAATATACTAAAATAGCGGCGACACTGTAACAGGCACGACGGCTGTGATTGGTGTTATCACGAGTTCAAACGTTAGTTGAAATTTTCGAAAAAAATCCGTTACCATAATACCATTGTTTTCTTTCTCTACTGCAGGATACAACGTATCACGTATGTGATAAAAACAAAATATCATAATAAATATTAATAATTAATAATATTATGTTAGTTATGTTTTTAACGGATAAAACATAATTGTTATGCAACGTTGGTGTATTATGTCATATTGAAGTGTTTTTTATCTATATTTTTTTTAGTTCGAACGTTCTCGCCGTGTATTGTCATTAACTTGGTGTTTTTGTTTGATAACAAGAAGTGAAGGTTTTTATTGTCTTATTAAACTAATAACAGTTGTAGTCTGTAGGTAAGTTCGAAGTCGTAACTCTCATTTATTTCAAAATTGTGTGCCGGCGTTAAGTAATAAATCATCATGGCTCCCACGTCTAAAAACTTGAGAAAATCTTTGTCAACGAAATTCCAATTGCCAGGTAGCATGACAATTGACAAAGAAAACGCGTTCCTACATAGTGTTAGCGAATTTCATAGCAGAATTCGGCGGAGGGAATCGATACGACTCAAGTATAAGGTAAGTACGCCTACGCGTATCGAGATTAAACCTTCCATCGTGTTTGGGCAGAGCCGTATTTAAGGGCATCTAGGGGACTAAGCCACCTTTAAAAGTTACTATCAAAGCCCCTCCAAACTATTTTAGCTTATAATGTTTATATCGCCAAAAACTCCCTCAATACTTCCATAGTAACTAGTAATGCAAATCTAACTATAGGTACTAACTAATATTTTAAATTGTGTTTGTAATCCTCACAGAGAATGTCCCTTGATTTACGACCCTAAATACACCCTTGTGTGTGGGTAAAGAAAATAGAAAAATTTACGATAATAAAGTTTATATAATTTTTTGTCCGTAAGCACCTCGGTAGGCACTAAGCTGTACATAAATAGTTATTTATTATTTTCCATTCCTGATACTGATTTTATCTTTAATGTGTACCTATCTATTACTTAGTAATTAACTATATAAGATAAAGTGATGAACTTATTATAATTATCAATGCACCTAAAAACTAGATATTAATGTATATATTAGGTATAATCTAAGTCCGGATGTTGAAGACTTGCATATTTTTTTCGAACATCATGGACGGAGCTTTCCTAGCTGAAAATGTGTTTCAATAACATACGAATCTTTATTAAAACTACCTATAATTATTATTTTGCATTTTTTCGTTTTTAGGTCATTTATATGACTAAGTAATTTTTTGAAGAGAATTTTTTACTTTTTTTCAATGATTGATAAAGAAAATACCAGTTGATTCTTTGTCATTAATATATTTTTATATTGTCCAAAAATAAAAAAAAATTCAACTAATTACGTATCAACTTTTCGTATGTTTAATACATTGTAATTTTAGATGAGCTGAGCGATTAATGTATATTGATTTTACAATGATGTATGGTTTTTTTTCTGTCTCACATCACCTCTTGGGACAGTAAAAATGATTCGATTTTCTTCAACAGCATCTTTTCTGGGTGGAAAATGGTTCTAGTATAGTAGGTGATTGAGGGGGGGGAGAATAAAGGTCAAGGTTTTCAAAAATGTCTAGAAAAAAATTGTGTTATTTTAAAAAAGCTAATAATAAAGCAAATAATAATTACCCTAGATACATCATACATGCAATTTTCACTGAATGTTTATATTATATAGCAAATTCTACGCACCATAACATTTTCGAGTTTTTGCGTTTATTTTTGAGCTATTTAAATGAATAAGAAAATTTTGAGTTTCTTAACTATTGTCGATGGTAAAATTTTCGAAAAAATGGAGATGAGTATATTTAGTGAATCACCCTGTATATTATAAAAACAAAATACCGAAATTAGGCACTCACAATAAATAGACAGTATAGGTATTCGAAATAAATGCGACCAGGATTTAACTCCAATCCACCATTAGTTATTTGTTTGGGATTCGGTGAAACGTCACATCTGATAATCGCTGTATGTATAGATCTGAGGTATTCAAACTGTGCGTCGCGGCTCCCAGGGGCATCGCGGGAGTTGTCGAAGGGAGCCGCGTAGTATAATTGAAAACCAATAAATATTTTTACGAAAAATGTTTACTATTATCATTGAGGCACACCGGTTGGGAAACGTCGAATTGTCTACAACAATCATTCGCTAAATTTAGCTTTAATTTTTTTATTTATGTTATATGGTAAATAAATAATAAAAATAAATTATAAAATATATATTACATTCATATAAACATTGATTTTTTTGTCATTTATAATTTGGGAGCCGTCAACATTTTGTGAAGATTTAATGGAGCCGTGTGATGAAAAAGTTTGAATACCTCTGGTATAGATAAAAACGTTATCGCATTCATAAATAGAACGATTGACATTTGAACGAATGAAAAATATCTAAAAACTATTAGGTAGGTAAAGTAAATATTATGAAAACAATATTTTTTTGTATAATATTTTCTAATTTTCTAATTTCACTAAAAGCTCATACAATACAAAGGTGCTCTAAAAATTAATAAAATACTCTGAAAATAGAAAAGAAGTTTAATCTCTTTAAAGTACCTGTTACATGATACAAAATATGTATTTAAAATGAACTGTACTAGAGCTCCCAAAAAATAATAAACTTCGCATTGAATATGAGGCTCTAAGTTACCTATAAAAAACGTCAAATGCTTATTGAGTCACAATCACGATTAAAGATAGTACTTCTATATAGCTGTAGTCACAATTCATTTAAAAATCTACTTAAATAGTAAATACAGGGGTAAATACCCACTTAATATATTTAATAAATTAAGTTTCATAACAAATTGTAGTTTTAACTTTTAATTCGTTTAATTAAACGACAACATTGTGCCAATGTGCCATGGTATAAAATATGGATTATTTTTTTTTATTATTTGTTCTTTATAATCCGACTCAGTTTCACATTTAAAACATTTGTAACTTTCATTTTATTTTTGACAGACTAAAATACCAATTAAGAAGTTTTACGAAAAATAAGTCTGAATGTACACGCTGTGCCCCACGCCTATATAGGGTTAGGTTAAATAACGCGCATGCACGAAAGACCTGATCTAACAACAAACATTATTAAACTACATAATTAAACACATTAAACATACCTTATACGTACAATATATATATATATATGCCAATACGTTAGGTTACGTAATTTTTATTTCCAACAGAAAACCGAGATAAACTCAGTTAAGATTCTATAAATTTTTCCACATTGTATTTTATTTGCTTTTATTTTGGTATGTTTATTTGATTAATATAAAACAGATATTAAAACAATAATAAGCTTTACCTGCAAGACATTAACTATGAATTGTACGAGAAAAATATCGTTAGTTTGGAGGATAAAAGATAAAATGAAAGGTATATTTTGATAAGACGAACAGTTACTGTTTAGACTAAAAGATAGTCTGCATAGTATAATAAAAGAGGTATTATGAGACGAATAACATTTAAGAGGACATTGTTATGAGTATTTAAAAATTGTAAAATGTTTGTACAACTTAAAATACTCATAACTCTCTTTAAAATTAAAATATAATAAAAAGTCCATGAGAAGCACTCCGTAATAATCTTACCTTTAATTTTAATAAGAGGTCAAATCAATCTAATTTTTAAGCTAACTGAGCTAAACGTGATCTGCTGAGCTTGAAATTTGGTATGCTAAGCTGCTGAGCACTTGTAAGGTTACAACACATGTGGGTATAACGTCCTCTTAAGTAGAAGTCGTTACGAGTGTAAAATTGTCAATTGAGAATTTTTGATATGGGAAAATAAAAATAAAGACATAATGGTATATAGGAACCTATATTATCATATTATACTATTACTACTTTGGATTAAATATTTTAAAGAACTGCGTTTTTACCTTTTTTGATTTATATATTATAAGAAAATAGAAATAGGAAATTTATGTTACTATAAAGTATGGTCTAGGACCTAGGTCAAAATTAATGGTTCAAATAATTTAATAATCTAATAGAAAATCCATAGTATTATTTGTTTACATGGACACAAAGGTAAAGCATAAATTACATTTTTATTTTACAACTATCATTGACCGAAGCCCAATGAAACAAGAAATAGGAAATATTTAAGAAGTAAACAATATGATTAATTGAAATAAAAAAATAAAAATACAGTTTATAAACTCAAAAAGAAAAATTGGGGTCCTCATTTAAAAAACAGAAGTTTGTACCTATATCGCGGGACACTCTTTAAGTTGTACACAAAATATTAAGAATATGAAAATATGGCCTATTAGTAAGTATATATTTAAAAATTCCGAAAACCAGATTTTGAATAACTCTAATATTGAAGAAAATAGGTAGTGAGCAGCAATGAGCATGCTTGGTGAATCACCCTGTATAGTTAGTTTAGTTAGGATAAAGAATTGCTAATAATTCCTAATGTTAAACCGTCTTTTTCATCATGGTTAGTTTTCTGTGTACTTCACAGACTTTTACCCAACATTTTCGTTTAAGTGTTGTACTCTTATTCGTAAAATTTAATAAAATAATATAAAAAATTAGTCTGTCTCAAAGTTTTGATTTTTTTTTTTATATGGTTATTTCAATTTTCAAAAATGTATAGTATAGTGATATAAATTGTTGGGAGTACGTGATAATTTTTCTCTTTTTGAATCACGCTAGTAGTCATGGAAGCACGTTTCCCTCCTTTTATGAGGACTCCACTATATATTGATGTGCTATGCACCGGTGATTGGTCGTATAGTAACAATATTACCCGTTGTATTATAGACGTCGTGTTGTGCTGAAATCGACAGGCAGCTCGAGTAAACGTCTTTTCGTTCAGTTTGTATTTTACGGCTCACGTGCTGAGGTTATTCTTAGCAGACGATGTTCTTCAACGATTAATTCTTATTTATGACAACAGGTGTCTTACAATATTATTTTCATATACAATTTTTTTTGAAGCAATTATGTCTTTAATTTCAATCTATGAGTAGATATTTTTTAATTTTCTTTCATAATTTTAGTGATTTTGCTTTAATTTTTGACCGATTCTTCTCAAACTTTAATACATAGTACATACCTTTTATACTCGTAACAATTTTGGTGTTCGTTAATGCCATTTATTTTGAGCTTAGAATGTACCGTATACGGTTGTACATAGTGCCCGAAAACTCAGATACTTGCCAAAGCATGCACAGTGTCAAGAACTCCACTCAAACTAAGAATATGCACAAGGTATTTATTTTTATTAATGTCTTTATTTCTAAACATGTTTAATATTATACAACTAACAGTTGAATGTTTTTAAACATTTTAAGACTTAAATTATTCACTATTGTAAAAACAAAAAAAATTGTTGAAACAATTACAATTAGTGAATAAAAAAGAAAAAATATATTATTTAATACGAAAGTAGAAATAAACGTTGCAAATCAAATATGGGTATATACGCATAGACCGGGAAAATAGATTTTTAATTTCGTATTGTTTTTATTATTAATACATAAGTGTAAGCTTAAAGTACTTATTTGAACTTAATCAAATATGAATATAATTTAAAAAATAAGCTGAAATTATACATTAAGAAATTTTCACTCTGCGTTACATTATTATTACAGATTTACCCTTTCAACGTTAATTTTAGTTTTAAATAGTCAGTCTGGCAGTCTTAAGTATTTATTATAATTGTATACTTGAGCATGTTATAAATTTCAAAACATATTTCTGGTATGCATATTGGAATGTTTAAAAATCGTATGAAATTATTTAAAAAAAAAAAATAATAGATACATTTATAAAATAATGTTATTTGTTTTATTATTTAATATTTTTAATTCACGTTTATATATGTGTATTAAGTAAACTATTGGGTATATAACCATTATTTTGCAAATTAAAATAAAACACAAGTAAGTACCTATACCGGTATGGATTTTTATTTTTTCATTGGTATATTAATTTTTTTCACAATGTATATGTACAATAAATAGTAGTGTTGACACAATTTAATTTGATAAGACCCTATTAATATATTATATCCACTAAATTTGAATAGGTACCAAAAGTCGGTTTGTGGGCTTGTGGCATAAAGCGTCACGCTTTAACATAAGTTTTTCAATAATCATAAATTATTTATAATATATTTACTACGGATTTTACGAGAAAAATATCTTATGATTGAAGGAGAAAAGAAAAAACGAAAGGTTTATTTTGAACAGAGAAAATCTTAAAATGAATACCTAGACAAAATGATAAACCTATAAAGTAATAAAAGAGGTTATGAGATGAAAAACATTTAGGTGGACGTCATAACGAGTGTGATATTGAGAATTGATAATATAGGTAAATAAACACAATGAAATACCAATATAGTAGACGATTGTACTAAAAATGAAAATATTCGTAGGAAAATTAAATCTGGTGTTTATAAAATCAAGGAAAGTATTTAATACAACGATAATGGTATTACGTTAAAAGAAGGATAAGGTAACATATGAATCTAAATTGACTTATTCTACAGCTGAGTTTGACTTGGAGAAGGTAAAGATCTGAAAAATTAATTTTTATGGGATATTGTATATTTTTCTGTTTGTACAACATCATAATGCATTATAAGTAGTGGCCCATCTTGCAATGCAATGAGTAGAAATAGTAAAAAAAAAAAGAAATAGTAATTTTTTTATAATTATGCATTTGGCTGGAGTCCGTTTTCTCTGTATCCGTGCATCTTCAGTATTATCATATAATAGATGTATTTTGAAGACGTTGGTGGGTAGCAAAGATCGTGCGCCATCAACCTTTCACGGCCAATCGGTCATTTTAAACAATTGAATTATTATATTGTATTGTACTTCAATAGATATATCTTTCAAACGGGACTATGCCTACTCAGTCAGTAAGTTAATATTATCATAATATTATTAATATTTTAAATATTTTAAATATAGTCGTATTGTTCTATACCAGGAAAGAATATCGACCTCACTTTAGATCAATTATTTTACTTGATTCGTATGAAATATTATAATAATGTGCTGGTTCTGTTTCTTGTAACGTGTATAAACTATTGTCAATACAAAAAAAATGACTAAGTTTTAGTTTGAAATCACTGTTAAAACATTTCATACTAATTTTTATAAAGTATTTTATAGACATATACGTTTTACATATTTTACGGTACCTATTTATTATTTTGCGTTTGGTCTATTTTTGCACTTTTGTTTTTTAGAAAAATAATTTTTATAGGTAGTTATACTAAGATTTTATTTATATTGGGGAATCTATTTAATTTGTGTTACGTTTCTTAAAGTATAATATATTGTTATTTATTATTGTGTAAATAACTATATCTTATATTAATTCCTAATATTCCTATATTATGGATTCTTAGGTTGTTAATTTGTTATTATAATCTATTTTTTTTTAAGGTATCTTATATTTATTTTTTTTACGGATATTGTGAAAGGTAATGAGTTAACTATCGTCATTCGTCATGCAGAAGTAGATTAGGAGTGCTAAATTTTATTTTTATTATTTAGGTACGCCGATTCATTGATCATTTGGCATAAATAACAACTGTTTTGTAAATCTAACAGGAAAATAATATTTTAACTATGATATCCGTGTGTTTAATTGAATATTATGAGTGGAATGCTGAAATCACGTCGTTGTGTAATGGTATGAGACAAGTGGTAGTCCACTAGTCTATACTATTCTACATGGTACCTTTAATATTATAACACAACCGCCTATGGGATAAATCGCACAATATTCCATGACAAATCACTTTTATTTACTGAGATGTATTTAATATATGAGTAAGAATGAGAGCGTGTAAAAATTGAATTTTTGAAATCTAAATGGCTGTTTGATCTACATGTTTTATTTCATAGCTTATATTAATTCGTATATACTATAATAATATTGTCCTCGCAGTCTTGCAGACTAATGTGTTTTTAATACACGGTTTAATTTTATTTAGGGGTTTTTCTCTAGCCATTATCTATTTTTTGAATTGAAGTATTGTATATTTTTGGCTATAGGTATGGGTTAGGCTAGATTAATTCTTTTAAATCGAAAGAAACCAGCTGTAAATCACTCTGTTTTATTATGTTTCAATTTTATTTGATCTTTAATTTTGATAAGCACTTAAATAACTTATCGAAAATCGATAATGCACATTTTATAGGTAAAATATATTTTATTCTTAGCGTTATTCTTATAACTGCATTGTGGTGAAAAATTATTATATTTTTTAAATAGGTACCCATACTTAACAATAACTTTATTTTTACAAGAATGTTTTTAAGAACGCATTTAACTTAGATTTAAACAATTCAACAGTAACATTATTACTATCCTGTTTATGCCTGTAGAAGTTATAACTATTTATCTATAGACAGGAATAAAACTAATTTTGTAAGAAATGTCCTTGTGTATAGGTTTCATCTAGTGTGAACGACACGTGTGCGTTTTCTCTTTTCCGAACTGAGTTTTCATCTTCAATTTCTGTTATGTATTAAATAATAACGACCCATACAAGCAATAATAGCAAAATACGTGTGTGACAATCTCGTTAAAGTCCACTGACCGATTGTGATGGGAAAAAAATTGTTTTACCATAATATGTGTAGTTATTAATAATTATAAAACAAAGTTTGAGACCTCTATACTTTATAAAGATATCTTATCATTTAATTTGTTTATTTTATAAAAAATAAAATAGTTTGCGTGAGTACAATTATTACTTAAACTGTAAATATATTGTATTATTAAGTATTTAAATAATAATATTTTATGTTACGTTTATGTAAATCTGCACCTTGTTTATAACTATGCCAGTTTGTTATAAATGTAAGATTTTAATTTAGGCATATGTAAAAATTATCGAATATGTAAAGTGTTAACTATTAAAATGCTTACTACCTACAATAAAAAACTTGGAATAGAAAATAATCATATAAAAAGACCTAACATAAAATTTTAGCAGCTAAGACTATTTTTTTGTAAATTTGTGGTGGTATAGATTATTGTTTATACATTGATATTGACCGATGATCTGTATGTTTATCATGACTCTGGTTGTTATAGATTGCGATTGTTATTTGTGTTGGATAATTATTCCATTATTCGATAATGAATACCTATAGGCTGTAATTATTAATTGATTATTAAAATTAAAAAAAAATATTTGTTTATTTTTCTTGAATCAATACCATTCTAGATAATAATTCAATTAATCAATAATTTATCACAAAAAAAGCCATATATTATTTTATGTGTATTGTCATGCAATCTATAATATTAAATTTGTATTTTATTAATACACGTTAGAATCATTAGGTATACATAATAGATAAAATAATACGTAATTGATTATTTTATTATTGACTATGTGATCAAAAAAAAATATTGTTATTCATTTTGAATGTCATATCTGTTTGTAATCTGATTAGAAGACCTATAATGTATACACTGATATTTGTGAAATGTTTTTTTTCATTGTAATTTTCTACTTGGCTTCTTAATTTTAAAATTGTACATCATTAAATAAACTGATAATATTCCCTAAATATATGTTAATTATTAAAAAAAAAATAATGATTCTCATTATAATTAGGTAATGCATTATTTTATTTGACATGTTACATCAAGTATTCTTATATTATAGCCTATAGGTACTATATTGGTATAATGTATATTATTATAAATAATATTAGATTTATTTTATAGTTATTGTCATAAGTACGAAAATACTTATTTTAAAATTATATGTTTACTTGAATGTTTAATTATAGCCTAGGTATAGGCAATTTAAACTTTAAACTATTAACATAAGCACATACATGATATACACACATTTTGCATAATTCAATAATTTGTTTATTTTAATTTTATTATTATGTTTTAAATGAATTGTTAAATTGACAATAAATATGCTCTTACACAATCGTTTTAAAATAAATAGGTTTAATTTATTTATTTTCCTCCCCTACTGCTTTTATATACTTCAATATTTGCTTCCGGCTTTTGTATGACTATTGTATTTATTTTTCCGTTCTGAATTCACCAAATGTATAGTATTTACACATGATATTTCGGTTCTTTACAATTATTAATAACTCTTTAACTGAGTTTACACTACACCGTGTCGTGTTTCGTAAAACTAATACACAGGTAGGTAGATATAATAAAATGTTGGGAATACCTTACGAATACATTCAACATACCCTAAC